GTCTGTGTGTGTGTCTGTGTGTGTCCTGTGTGTCTGTGTGGTGTCTGTGTGTGTGTGTGTCTGTGTGTGGCCTGTGTGTGTCCTGTGTTTGCTGTGTGTGTCTGTGTGTGTCTGTGGTGTGTCGTGTGTGTCTGTGGTGTGGTGTTCTGTTTGGGTGTGGGGGGTGTGTCTGGTGTGTGTGTGGTCTGTGTGTGTGTGTCTGGTTGTGTCTGGTGGGTGTGAAGATGAAGTGTTGAAGGAGGTTGGTGCGGGGAGATGTGTGTGTAGTCGTGCGGGGTGTGAGGGAGGGGAAATGTTGTGTGAGTTGTGATTTCTTTGTTTGTGTGTCTGTGTGTGTCTGTGTGTGTCTGTGTGTGTCTGTCTGTGTGTCTGTGTGTCTGTGTGTATGTGTGTCCGTGTGTCTGTGTGTATGTGTGTATGTGTGTATGTGTGTATGTGTATATGTGTGTATGTGTGTATGTGTGTATGTGTGTATGTGTGTATGTGTGTGTGTGTGTGTGTGTGTGTGTGTGTGTGTGTGTGTGTGTGTGTGTGTGTGTGTGTGTAAGTGTGTGTAAGTGTGTGTGTGTGTGTGTGTGTGAATGTGTGTATTCGTTTCTAGTGTTGTGTGTCGGTGGGTGTGGTGTGGCTGTGTGTGTGTCTGTGTGTGTGTGTATTCTGTGGGTGTATGGTGTGGTGTTGTGTGTTCTGTGTGTGGTTCTGTGTGTGTGTCTGTTGTGTGTGTGTGCCCACGCTATTAGCCCATGTGTGTGTGTCTGTGTGTGGTGTGTGTATGTGTGTGTTGTGTTTCTGTGTGTGTGTCTGTGTGTGTGTGTGTCTGTGTGTGTGTGTGTGTGTGTCTGTGTGTGTGTGTGTGTGTCTGTGTGTGTGTGTGCATGCACGTCATCCGTAGCCTGCAGTCTGAAAATATTCCACTGAAGGGCAAACACTCATGCAACAGATAATGTGGTAATGCACCTCGCGGCGGGCGCGTGCCCCTGCTCGGTCATGCGGCCCACGTCGCCTCACAGCTGCAGGTGTGCGAAGTGCTGAGATGCAAGAAAGCCACTCGACCTGCAGGGGACGCGCTGCGGAGCGTCGTCCTCAACGTTTGACCTCAGCCGCTCACGGCTTACGACGTGTATGATGCCCACCTCTGGGATAGAGGCTGGGGCAGTGACATGACTGGCTCGCTCTGGTTCCCGAATCGTGGAGTACTCCCCGCGGAGCCAAACTCTCTCTATGGTTTAGGGAGGTTCTCCGTGGTTTGGGATGACGTGTTGCCGCCGAGTTCTCTATGGTTTAGGGATGATTATCTATGGTACACAATCAGCGCCTCATGTTTGGCTCCTGTGTTTGAAAGTTCCCGGGCGACCGTGGCTCTTTTTGGCTCCCACCCCGAGTCTCTGGCCCTAATGCTCTGAGTCTCTTGAGTTCTTTGAGAGCTTCAGGCACCTCCAAAACAGGTGGGGTCATTTCGAGAACTTATTGTGCGCGAGCCATCTTGAGTCCTGCGTCTTTTGAGGGGCTGTGGGGCCTCCTCAACGGGCGCGAACGGGCGCGGTCATTCGGGAACTTATTCCTTGGGAGCCATCTTGAGTGTCTTGCGTCCCTTTGGGGGGCTTCCGGGGCCTCCAAAGCCAGCGCGGTCATTTGGGAACTTATTCCTTGGGAGCCATCTGGCCCCCCTGAGACTCAGGGACTTGTGGTGGAGGGTTTAGGGTTTAGGGTTTAGGGTTTAGGGTTTAGGGTTTAGGGTTTAGGGTTTAGGGTTTAGGGTTTAGGGTTTAGGGTTTAGGGTTTAGGGTTTAGGGTTTAGGGTTTTTAGGCTTTAGGGTTTAGGGTTTAGGCTTTAGGGTTTAGGGTTTCGGGCTTGAGAGGGGGTAGGGTGTAAGGTTTTGAGTTGGGACCTTGAGTGCTTCGAGCGCTTTTTGGCCCCAATATGTCGCAAAAAAGAAACAAAGCATCTTGATTCTGCCTGGGGGGGGGGGGGAGTCTAGACCCCAAGCCTTCAACCCTAAACCCCAAGCCCTAAACCCTAAAGACCTAAGCCACCCCTTTCTTCTCAAAATGGTTCAAGGAAGGGTTCTGCCGCAAGCCTAGAGCGCCACAACAGGAGGATCCCTACATGACACAAGGACAACTTGGGGTTCGAAGTTGATTTTGCGAATATCGCGGCCGAAGCTCTGCAGCAGCCTTTGGGAGATGTTGTGAAGGGTTCTGCCACTCACAAGTTCTGAGGGCAGCTTGCTGACTGCCAGGTTTTACGGTTGAAAGGGGAACCCGAAACCCGAAACCCGAAACCCTAAACCCTAAACCCTAAACCCACCGCATCCCCGACTCACTCAACACGAACAGTAAGCATCGGGTTTGAGGCGTGCAGGGTTGCAGGCTTGCAACATGAAAGACGCCTCCGAATGGACTCCTGCTCAACTTAGGGCCTCTCTAAACCCTAAACCCTAAACCCTAAACCCGAAGCCCTAAACCCGAAACCCTAAACCCTAAACCCTTGAAGCCCAAGCGAACCACTCTCCTTTGCTTTTCAGCCCCAAGGGTTGGCGCCTGACAAGTCTCCAAGGTGACCACGCGATAGCTGGAGAGGCAGAGCTTCTGTAGAGCCTACAGCTGCCATGCGCACATATTTGGGGGCTTAGGGTTTAGGGTTTAGGGTTTAGGGTTAGGGTTTAGGGTTTAGGGCTTAGGAGATTAGGGAATACATCTGGGGATACAGAGGTCGATGGCGCCGGGGTATCCAAGTGGGGGCTTGATGGCCCTTAGGGTTTAGGGTTAAGGGTTTAGGGTTTGGGGTTAGTTCAGGGTTTAGGGTCTCGGTTGTTTGAGGGGGCTTGTGGTCTAGCATCTTGATGAGGATCAGCATGGGTCGGCTCGGCGCATGAACCCCACATCGCAAACCCTCAACACTCAACCCTCAACCCTACTTGGAGGTTCATGGGCACTAGCAAACAAATTATAAGTCTACTTGTAGCCTACTTAGGGAACTTCGGGGGCTTCTAAGTACAGTGATAATTCGGGTTATAAGAACCCTGAACCTCCAAGTAAACCCTAAACCCTAAACCCTCAACCCTACTACAGGGTTCCTGGGTTGAACCTCGGAGCTCCTGTGACCCCTAGCGATGGAGTCGCCTTGAAGACCCTTGGAATTTGGGGGTTTAGGCGGTTTAGGGTTTGGGGTTTCGGGTTTCGGGTTTAGGGTTTAAAGTTTAGGGTTTGGGGTTCGGGTTTAGGGTGGTTGAGGGGTTTCATTGGGGTTTCGGTGGGTTAGGGTTTGGGGTTTCGGTTTTGCTAAGCCCAAAAAGCCCGACACACCAAAGCCCGTGAAGCCCAACAGCCTAAACCCCAAGCCCTAAACCCCAAACCCCAACCCCCAAACCCGAAACCCGAAAACCTAAACCCTAACCCTAATCCCTAACCCTAAACCCTAAACCCCAAACCCTAAACCCTAAAAACCCTAAACCCTAAACCCCAAACCCTAAACCCTGAACCTTTTGTGCCCAAGGCGCCATGTCCCGGCCCCATTCCAGCAGCTGCTGCGGCTCCACCTCCTGGAGCTGCCTCAGACGGCTTTAGGGTTTAGGGTTTAGGGTTTAGGGTTTAGGGTTTGGGGTTTAGGGTTTAGGGTTTAGGGTTTAGGGTAGGGGTATAAGTACCCAAAAAGAGAGAGAGACATATTTTGAGGTAATCCTACTTAATAAGCCTCCCCCCCCCCCCCCCGCCGACCCTCCAGGCAGAGGGGGTTTTGGGTTTAAAGTCTTAGGCTGTAGGCTTTAGGCTTTAGGCTTTGGGGTTTGGGGTTTTCGGCATTTGCGCATCTGGGTGTTAGGCCTATTTAGTGTTTTCGGCTATAATTTGGGATTAGGGTTTTTGGGGTTTGAGGGTGTAGGGCTTCAGGGTTTGGGGTTTTGGGGATTCTGGCTCTAGGGTTTAGCAACAGGTTGACATGGGCTTTGGGCGGGTTTGAAGCTTGCCTTGGCACTTGTTCGCAACCAAGCTTAGAGAAGATCATGTTCTCTCTGGTTGTTTCAAAACCCTAAACCCTAAACCCTAAACCCTAAACCCTAAACCCTAAACCCTAAACCCTAAACCCTAAACCCTAAACCCTACACCAAAGTGCTCTTGTTTTGGGGTTTGTGCAAGGTGCTGCAACCCAGGGTCCAGGCAAACTACTACTTGCCTAAGGACCCCCAAATCAACATATGAACCCCCATCAACATATAAAAACAATAATCCCTCTATTACCCTTATAAGGAAGAATGTTTGTACTTTTTTGGGTGGTTATTAAACTTAGTTGCTGAGTTCATGAGCCCAAGAAAAGTGTACACTTTCAGTTCTGTAGAGGGTTATAGTATCACAAAAAGGTGTAAAGTGTACTCGTTCAGCTACTAAGTAAACAAACAGTAGTAAACCCTAGACCGGGCCAGGATTGCGCGCAAGCGCATGGGGTCAAGCGCTTCAGGCTTTCGACATCCTCCCTAAACCCTAAACCCTAAACCCTAAACCCTAAACCCTAAACCCTAAACCCTAAACCCTAAACCCTAGACAAAGGCTAAATCTTTACGGGTTCATGAGGGCTCTAACAGGGATGAAGGCGTAAGGCCTCAGGTTTGCATTTTAAAAACACAGGGCGATGACATCTGAAACCCCACTTGCGGTTTAGGGTTTAGGGTTTGGGGTTTAAGGGTTTAGCGTTTAGGGTTTAGGGTTTAGGGTTTAGGGTTTAGGGTTTAGGGTTTAAGGTTTAGTTAGGGGGTTTAGGGTTTAGAGTTTATAAGAGCTAAGGGTTCGGGTTTCGGGTTGAGGGTTTCAAAAGTAGAGCTGCAGCAGGAACGACCATTTGTGCCTGCGAGAGTTGTAGGCGCCTCCCCACAGCCCGGCCTATGTCCAACTGTCTTGCAGATGTCTGCTGTCACCCCCATGCTCGGGATCGCCCCAGGTGACCACAGAGCCGTCTCCCAGGACTGCAGCGAAAGCACCTAGAGAAGCTTGTATCTGCTGGACATTCTTTAGCTGCTCCTGGACAACACTGGAGTCGCCACCATATAACGATTATTACCCCAGCTGACCACAGATCCATCCGCGAGTGTTGCAGCAAATGCCTGACTCGAAGCTTGTAGGTGCTGTACATTCTTCAGCTGCTCCTGTACGGCCCTGCTGTCGCCACCAAACGCGGGATGGCCCCAGGTCACCACAGAACCGTCACGCAGTCTTCCGGCGAAGGCAAGCCGAGACCCTTGAATATGCTGTACGTCCTTGAGCTGCTCCTGTACAGCCCTGCTGTCGCCGCCAAATTGGGAGCCACCCCAGGTGACCACGGACCCATCACCCCGAATTGCAGCAAATGCATGCTGTGCAGCATGGACTTGCTGCACATCCCTCAACTGCTCCTGCACGGCGCTGCTGTCACCACCAAACTCCCGGTGGCCCCATGTGACCACGGAACCATCACGCCGGATTGCAGCAAAGGCGTAGTTAGACCCTTGGATCTGCTGCACATCTCTTAACTGCTCTTGCACTTCCCCGGTGCTGCCCCCAAAGGGGACATAGCCCCAAGCGACCACAGACCCATCACCAAGAACCGCAGCGAATGCACGATGCGAAGCTCCAATTTGCCGAACATCTTTAAGCTGCGACTGTACCTTTACTAACGTTAAGAATAACAATAATAGTATTATTTTGAAAATTCTTTTGGGCTTTAGAACAATACAGATTAAAAAGCTCCTATGAAGGGCTATAGGTGCCTCATCACTGTCCCCACCATATTCTTCATTTCCCCAGGTCACCACAGATCCATCAGCCAGGATTGCAGCGAATGCACGGTTTGTAGATTGGAGCTGCTGGACGTTCTTTAGCTGGTACTGTACCGCCGTGCTGTCTCCGCCACATTCGGCACTTCCCCAGGTCACCACAGATCCATCTCCCAGCACTGCAGCAAATGCGCGCTGTGAAGCTTGGATCCGCTGCACGTCCGTCAGGAGCTGCTGCACAGCGCTGCTGTCGCCACCTTTCTCAACACCCCAGGTCACCACTGATCCTGTTCAGTACTTAGGGGTTTTAAAGGTTACTTTTGGGATTCTAAGGGGAACTTATTACCCCAAAAAGGTCAAAGGTTACCTACTCTGCTCCTGAGGATCCGTCACCCAGAAGTGCAGCAAAGGCGGAGAATCTACCTTCTTTCCTTGTAGCTACAAGTTGGACCTGCTTCACATGTAGGGTGAGCACGTCGCCATTCTGCAAACTCGCCTCTTTGATAGTTGATGCTCCAACCAGTACCTCATGGGTTCCCCTAAGCCCTAAACCCTAAACCCTATACCCTAAACCCTAAACCCTAAACCCTAGGGGGGGTGTAGAGGGGGTAGGAGGGAAACCCATGAGCTCCTCTCCGTGAGAGTTCAGCAGCCGTCCTCTGCCAGATGCCAGAGCCCTCATGGCGCGCTGTTTCAGGGACTCGACGAACTCATCTGCCTGAAGGGCTATAAGGAGGGACCCCTAGAAGGGCGTTTAGGGTTTGGGGTTTGGGGTTTAGGGTTTAGGGTTTAGGGTTACCCTTCATCTTATTCCCCACATATCACCCTTTTTCTCCTTATATAGTCCCTATATACCTAGCTAGCCCTAACCCCTAAGGTCCCTGATAAGGGCCCCTCCTTTCGTCCCTTGGCTGCCTCCACTTCAAGAGAGACGCTCTTGCCACTCAGCAAACAAACCTCCACCGAAAGAGGCATCCCTAAACCCTAAACCCTAAACCCTAAACCCTAAACCATGATGCCCCATGAGGGGTTTCCTAGTGGAACCTTAGGCCTACATGCGAAAGGGCGCGAAACTGACATGCCAACTCGAAATATTGCTTTATGCAAGCCAGAACCGAAGCTTCTGCCCTGAACCCTAAACCCTAAACCCTAAACCCTAAACCCTAAACCCTAAACCCTAAACCCTAAACCCTAAACCCTAAGCCCTAAGCCCCCAAACCCTAACCGTATAAGGCACTTGAAATAAACTAACCAGCAGCGGCAAATGAAGCCTCTAAGCCACACTGTGCCCTTGAGCAGTCAGGGCCCCTGCAGCCCCTGCCCACCCACATGAGAGTTTCTGAAGATGCGCCCTAAGGTTTTAGGGTTTAGGGTTACGTTGAGGGTTCAGGGTTTGGGGTTTCGGGTTTGGGTTTTTTGGGTTTGAGGTTTCGGGTTTCGGGTTTGGGCTTTGGGGTTTGGGGGCTCACTGGGGTTCATGGGGTGTAGTGCTCACAACTGGCTTTAGGGGCTTCAGTTCCAGTTCAGGCAACAAACACCCCAAAAAGACCCGGAACCCGAAGACCACGAAGCCCTACAAAGTGCTGAGTCCTAAACCCTGCGCCTCGCACCTTGACCCAATTGAGGATGCGTGAAAACCCCCTATCCCGGAAGATATCCCTGAATTACGTTATTGTTATTGTTTACTCTTGTCGTTCTCTCGAGGTTTAGCATTATCTATCCTGAACGTTATTGTTCTTGTTTTACTCTTATCGATGTTTTCCGAGCAAAACGCACATCTGATCATTTTGGGGCGCTTCCCTTTGCTTTTCAATATCGGGGGGGGGGGGGGGGGGGGGGCCCTCAATTGAACTCCTAAAAGTGAAAGTTAAATCCCAACACCCGAAACTCCCCCTAAACACAAACTTCTAAACGCTCATTCCGATGCCTCTCTACCCTACGGTGGAGTAGACCCGTGAAAAAAAGTATATACTCTTTAAGTATAAGTAGATAAAATAGGAACCCAGGACCAAGCAAAAAGTATTAAAGTACAGTACTCCAAAACCCAGTCTATGGTCGGCCCCACACCGTGAAGCCGAAACCCCAAACACTCGGATTCTCGAATAATCTAAGAATAACTCACCATACCCCAAACCCATACCCCTTAACCTATGAAAGTATAATATCAACGGAGTCTAAGGGAGGATTTTACCATGCCCCTTGATTTCTTTTATAGGGTATGTTGAATATTTCTGAGAAATAAGATCCTCTTGAACCCAATTCATTGGGCAACAATATACAACACATCCCGCGGTGCTGAGGGTTTATGGTTGAGGGGACACCCTAAACCCCAACCCAAATTAAACCCTAAACCCCAAGCCCTTCAGTGTCCCTAGATAGTTCCTTTGTTTGCTCTGGGGGGAGGTGCGGCTACGTACCCGATCCGTTTAGGGTTTAGGGTTGAGGGTACTCCTCTACACAAGCCTCCCCGAACCTTGTTAAGAGCCTTCATAAGCCTTAAATTCCTTACTCTGAGACTTTTCTACAACCCTAACCCTAAACCCTAGTTAAACCCGAACGCCCGCCGCCCCCCTCTCAACCCAAAATGCAAGGCTCCCTCCCTGGACCCTACTTGGTAGCCCAGAAAGCAAAACCACAATGAGTACCGCCCTAGACACCAAACCCTCTAAACCCTCTAAACCCCCTAAACCCGCCAAACCCCCTAAACCCCGTAAACCCCCCAAACCCCCCAAACCCCCTAAACCCCCCAAAACCCCTAAACCCCCTAAACCCCCCAAACACCCTAAATCCCAGCAAGCCTACGAAAGCTCGAGCTCCCAAACTCCGATAAGCCTCCCTAAACCCTAAACCCTAAACCCTAAACCCTAAACCCTAAACCCTAAACCCTAAACCCTAAACCCTAAACCCTAAACGCTAAACCCTAAACCCTAAACCCTAACCCTAAACCCTAAACCCTAAACCTCTTCTGAGCCCGAGGGGCCGGATCAGGTCCACACCCCAAGTTTCCTCCAGAAGTCTGGTGGCCTGCAGAGCTGCGGTCGTTAGGGTTTAGGGTTTAGGGTTTTGGATTTAGGGTTTAGGGTTTAGGGAAATGGGCCCAGACTAAACCCTTAACCCTAGCACAGGAAGTCAACTCAATCATGTTCCTGCAACCGCTACTACTAAGATCGCTGTCAGTTTTATAAACTCCAGCACGACGGTGGCGCCTTTCAAGTCCCTCGCGACAGGGACACCCGGAAAAGTCCGCAAACATCACAAAGAGCTAAACCCAGCAACTTCACAAACAGAGAGCAAGGGAGAGAAGATATACATGAATGCATATGCATGTGCGTACACTCATGCCTACATCGGGAGAGGGAATGCGGCAGAGAGAGAGAGAGCAAGAGAGAGAGAGAGAGAGAGAGAGAAAGAGAGAGAGAGAGAGAAAAAAAAAGACAGAAGAGAGACATGCATACATACGTGCGCAAGCACATACACACATAGGGAGCCGGAAGGAGAAAAAAAGAGGGAGAGATGGACAGATAGACGGACAGACAGACAGATTGAAAAACACAGATATGTAGGCTATATTCATCCCAAACCCTAAGCCCTAAGCCCTAGATCACAAACCCCAAACCCCAAGCACTAATTCCTAAACCCTAAACTTCCTGAACCTTAACCCCTAAACCCTAAACCCTAAACTCTAAACCCCAAACTTCCTGAACCTTACCGAAAGCCGGCCATGGTCTGCGGGGGGGGAGGCCTGCGACTTGCGCGCGCCGAGATCCGCGTGGCGGAGGCCGCGCCAGAGAAGCTCGCAGAGAAGTTCCTTGCCGTATAGGGCCGGGGGGGGGGGGGGGTGGGGGTCTAGGGTTTAGGGTTTAGGGTTGAGTCTTCAGGGTTGAGGGTTTCAGGTGTGGGGTTTAGGGTTTGGGGGTTTTGGGTACCTGAAGCATTGAACCCCGACCCCTGAACTCGAAACCCGGTCGCTTAGCCAATGCCGCCAGAGACTAGGCTGCCCAGTATCCTAAACTTAAAAAGGGTGCCCTTTTTTTGCTTAAAGGGGTTTAAAAGGGAACCTAAACCCCCCAAAAAAGGGAACAAGGGTACCACTGGGCATCCTAGGAGACCTAAAAGCCTCACAGCATGCAGCTTACAGGAAGTTTTCGGGGCAGGGTTGCAAGTCAGGACCCCCTTCCTATACCAGCTTAAGTTCGAGGAGCTAGAACTTGTGTAATCAGACTTATAACACATGTTACTTATAACCCGAACTATCAGTCATGCTCCTTACAACCCTACCTATATCTAGGAGACCCCTAAACCCTAAACCCCAGATCCGAAAACACTCGACTCTATCAAGATAACAGTTAATGAACCATTGGGGAAGGTCATAGTGTCATTGGGCAAGGTCATGAAAAAGGGCAAGGTTATAAAATCATTAGGCAAGGTCCGTCGGCTGACCCATGACCTTGTGACCTTGCCAAATCTCTTTTTTATGACCTTGCTCAGTCTTTTTTATGACCTTGCCAAACCTTTTTATGAACTGGGCATTGGGCAAAGTCAGACAAAATTGGCCACGGCAGAAAAGATTGGGCAAGGTCATTTTAGGGTTTGGGTTGCGTGTGAGACTTTTTACTATCTCAATGGTATGGGATTCTCTGGGTGAGCGGCAGTGAGGGGGTGCTTTTCGGGCGCCTGACAAGCTGACAACACTTCAAGAACTTGAGATGCTGAGCACAAAACCCTACACCCTCAACCCTACACCCCAAACCCTATGATCCCTACACCCTAAACCCTACACCCTAAACCCTGCACCCTAAACCCTAAACCCCAAAAGCGACCAGGCGTCATGAAGCTTTGGGTCCGGCGCACTCTTCGACAGGACCGGGACCAAGCGGCCTGGAATGGGGGGTATCCCTTAGAGCCGCCACCCTAAACCCTAAACCCTCAACCCTAGACCCTAAACCCTAAACAGTAAACCCTAAACCCTAAATCCGAAACCCTAAACTACTCGCCCCGGCCCTTAAAAGGGTGCCCCTTATATACCCTTCTATACCCAATGCAAACTAAGGGCCCATGCATCACAACCCTTTGGAGAAGGTTAGCGACACTATTAAGGGCCCATGAAACTACCCTCAGACTGAAACCTGACCCATTCCCCCCCCCCCCCCCCCAATGGTAGGCATCTCATGGGTCTGCTTACAATTTGGGCTGGTTTCGGGTTTCGGGTTTTGGTGGCTAAGGAAACTCTAGCAAGAATAAAAATCCCCAAAGGCAGCTGCAACAATAACAATAATGTACCTCTATTGCAACTTGCGGCTTCTTTTGTCTCATCCTTCGTGTAGGAGTTTCGGCTGAAAACCCGAAACCCGAAACCCGAAACCCTAACCCCTAAACCCTAAACCCTACGTAGCGTGGAAAGGTTGAGAGAAGGGTTCGACATGCTTCGCTCTGGGGGGTTTACAGGGTTTATAGGCTTTAGGGTTTAGGGTTCAGGGTTTAGGGTTTAGGGTTCAGGGTTTAGGGTTCAGGGATTTAGGGCTATGGGGTTCAGGGTTTTATAGGGTTCATAGGCTTTGGGGTTCAGGGTTCAGGGTGTTAGGGTTACAGGGTTGAGAGTCGGTTCGGATGTTGCTGTGCTTCGAGGATGTGCCGTTTTGTGTGTAGCTCCATGAACTGCTATCCAAGCACTAGCAAGGCAAA